TCCGGCTCCCGACTTCGAAGGGGAGGCGAAAGTCTTGAACACAGAGGTGGATCCCGCTTGCGAAGGCGCTTTAGAGGCCGAAATCGTTTTGGGCTTGGCTTTTGGGTAGGCTCGGGCATGCTTATGGGGACGGGAGGATCCGGTGCTAGGGGCGGGAGATGCACTACGCGGGCGTTTCGCAGCCGACGGATCCGCCCCACTTACAGACGGACGAGGAGCAGAAACGCTGGCGGCATGAGAGGGCCCAGACAGGGGAGGAAGGAAATCCGAGACAGCACCTGTCACCAGCGCCAGTCGTCGGCGTGCCAAATCCCGCTCCGATAAGCCACGATCGCGCTCCAGAACCAGCTGTTGCTGCTGAGCATGAGCTGCAGCGAGTTGATCCTGGAGTTTCGCTGCGGTTGCATCGGCATCCTTCAATCTGTCACCTGGATTGACATAACAAGTGAATATGGGGTTACTCGCGGGGACCAAAGGAGGATCCACGTACTCGTGCGGCGGAGCTTGGATTCCAGCTCCGTTTGCGTTCGCTTGGCATCCGCCCACTCGGTAGCCGCCTTATCCCGCTGGAGCTCGGTGTCCGCCAACTTCGCTTGGATCTCGTCGCGCAGTTGAGTTATACGTACGAATTCTTCGAGCGCGTAGTCTCGCCCAGCAGACGCTTTCTCGAGCGACTCCTTGGTATCTTTCAGCTCCTCAGACAGTCGAGCCAGAGCTACATCCGGCGACGAGGGAGGTGGATTTGGCGCGGGGGACCCTCCACGTACCGACCCTAATGCGGATCCGTCATGGGCGGATCCCACATAATCGTTAGTTACCACCTCCTCTTGGGTCAGACGCAACTCGTCACGGAGTCGGTCCAAGCTCTCGTCCGTGGCTGCACTAGCAGTCTGGGAATCCTCCAGACCCCGCTCGAGGTCGTGGATACGGGATTGGAGCTGGTGGATCTCAGATCCGGCGAGCGCCATCTCCCCAAGGAGGTGGTCGTTGTCGTCCCGCATGCCATCTCGCTGACGGGAGGCGCGATCCAACCGTCCGGTCAAGTCGCGGATCTCGACCGCTTGATCAGCCAACAGGAGTCGCAGGTCTTGCGAGCGAGAGGCCGCACGGTGCTCCCACCCCTGCATCTCCATAGCCTGGTCATGGACCTGGGCTCGCAAGGGTTTGAAGTTGGTAGGCGTGCAAAGACGCAGCTTGTCTCGGGCATCTTGAGCCGTCTGAGCCCCGCCGTCAGTTTGCACCCGATCGGAAAGAGCTTGGCCAGAGTACGCAGATCGGTGGGTGACATTAGGAAGGCTGACCGGAG